TTCCCTTGCACCGAGGACTCGCCAGACTGTGAGGACGGCTGTGATCGCTCTCGTCTCCGCTCTCGCCTTGGTGGCTATCTTCCATTTAGCCAAACTTGCTGAGCATCCTGTAGCACAGAAGGAATCAACTGGTAAGCAGAATGCTATGTATGATCAGTTCATTATCTTGAAGCTCACTTTCTCCCTCTTTGCTGAAGATTTGAGTAATTCATGAATTGGTACATTAATCACCTTCGCTATATATGTATGCTCAAGATTACAGATATATTGGTTATAAGAAAGTTATACTTGTATTTCTTAGTAATTTTACATACGTTTTTACATAAGACATTCAGACTAATCGTGTTCATATTCAGTTTTTACCAGACTTTCACTGCAAACAGACCAAACCGCCGATGCTGATAAACAAACGACGACCATTTTCCCTCCGACTTTAAACCCTTTACCTTGGATACGTCATATCTAGATAAAGAGAAGGAATAAGTGTCATATCTTATCCACAGATCACGATATACAGAACAGGTGCATTGGTACCATGGCTCAAACAATGGGGTATATTGTATTGACTAGTTCAACTGTCTCATCGTGACGGAAAATAATATAAAAGTTTAACTGAGAGGTAGCATGGCGGCTTCGAAATCAAGCTGGATTTCATTTTACTGTATTAAGTTTATTTTTCATCGGAAAACGTTTAACTTCACGTGCTGCCTTCGGGTGCGTCAATATCTTCATTGATGTTGATATCGTAATGTTATTGGATTTTCATAAGATAAACATACAACACGTTTTTCTGTCATTTTTTTTTTTTTTTTTTTTTAGTGTGCAGTGTTATTCAAAATAAATAAGTGTCTGCTATTTTGTGTCAATTTTCGTTTATCATCATTTAAATAAAAAAGCATGCTGATACCGAAGGTCTTTTCGCTACATCGCTTCATCTGTGGCTCTGAAGAAGCAATTTAGCGGGAAGATCTTCGGTATATTCGCGTGTTTTCTTGTTCTTCTCTTCGCTGTTTTATCTACAGTCAGCTCAGCATGAATCCTACACGTGTGTCATCGTGTAGAACATGTCAATGATTAGCATATCTAATTCTTATTGAAGAGCGATAATAACTTCAGTGTTATACGTTCCCGTTAAAGTATTAATCAGTGAAAAATGGTGATTTAATCGGTGTCCATTCGTTGGCCTTTTCGTCACGGCAACGGAATGGCAGCAAGAATAAAGTACGACAAACAGCAACACTATCTTTCAACGGTAAAATAAAACAGCCAGATGGTGGATAATTTCCCACCTGACTTAAATCAATGACTGATGAACGACACCTTGATTGAGCACCGTGCCATAACCCCCCCCCTCCCCTCCCCTACCAACCCCCTACCAACGACAAATTAAACAAAACAAAACAAAAAAGCGACTCGACACTCTTACCAAAAGATTAATAACTTGATTAATAATGCTCGCACCTTCTGCAGCGACGCTGGATGTAGGCATATCCGAATCACAAATACAAGTCGAGAAAGTGTATAAGTCGACAGCAGGGAAGGCAGTTAAGAAGCAAGGTAAGATTCTCAGTGAGGAGGTCGACAGGAAGGTGAGGTGACTCTACTAACAAGAATCGGGGGGGGGGGGGGGATTTCTGTGTCTTCGGTAAGGGAGAAAGGAGGGACGAGAGCGAAAGGGCAAAAGGGAGAATGAGGGGAAGCTAGAGAGATGAGGGCTGAGGGAATGAGAGAGGGAGAAGAGTTTAGTGTGAGAGAGCAGCATAAACGAGAGAGAGAGAGAGAAAGAGGCAAAGGAAGAGAGAGAGAGTGAGTGAGTGAGTAAGAGAGAGAGAGAGAGAGAGAGAGAGTGATTAAGTGAGAGAGAGAGAGAGAGAGAGATTGAGTGAGAGAGAGAGAGAGATTGAGTGAGAGAGAGAGAAAGGGAGAGAGGATTGAATGAGAGAGAGAGAGCAAGAGCAAGAGAGAGAAAGAGCAGCAAATGAAAAGAGAGAGTGATTGATTGAGTGAGAGAGAGAGACAAAGAGAGAAAGAGAGAGACAGTGATTGAGTGAGTGAGTGAAACAAAAAGAGAGAGAGAGAAAGAGAGAGAGTGAGAGTGATTGATTGAGTGAGAGAGAGAAAATGTAATTAATTGATTACTAATTCAATTCGCTTCTTTTAACAATTATTTTTTCATAATCTAAACGCTAAAACTGACCTTGATCTTTTGTATGAATAAAGACTGAATTGAAATAACATACAGAGAGATATGTGGATTAAAGAAAAGCAATAACCAAGAGGTAGATACAGGAAAATATGTATAGTAAAAAAATAATTAAGAATGAATGATTAAATTAATTAACGTAACATTGGAAGTGACTATAAATGCTTTTCTTGAACATTGTGAGAGACATTCACACACGCTTCTTCTATTTCTATTTATCTTCTTTCTCTTTCTACCCCCCCCCTTTCGCTCTCTCTCTCTCTCTCTCTCACACACACACACACACACACACACACACACACACACACACACACACACACACACATACACACACACACACACACACGTACCCAAATACAAACACACACACACGGGGCTAAAGAAACAAATCATGAAAAAGTAAAGTAAGAAATGATGACTTCTCAATACAAACCTTTCATTGCGCTTTGTGATGCTGCCATGCAAGCTGAAATTTACCTCGAAATTAGTTTTGCATTCGCGCCTTCCACGCCCAGTAAGGCGGGGAGGCAACGCAAGCTGTAATTCTGTTGTCTCACGCCCGCGCGTCTTTGTCTGGCCGCGGGTGGTTCGGGAATTTCGATTGCAAGGCTTTACCGTCGTTGCACAAAGCGGGCGACGCCATTGGTTTGCACAGCGAAAGGGGAAATCGCTGGAAAATAAACGGGTTGATTGGATCTTTCCGGCGTCTTGCCCGAAGATGATTGATGCCGCAAGATTAAGCAGCGGTGATGGTGTAGATAAGGATGCTGGCATTTCGTCTATGTTGAAATACTAATTCTATTTCGCTGTTGCAGGTGCTGGCGGGGACGAGCGCGGAGGCGACGGCCTCGAGCAGCCCGCCGTGCCCGTGGCCCACATGAACCTGGCCCACAGTCCGGTGCAGGACATGCTGGCCCGGGCCCGCAACCGGGCCGGCGGCGCCATGCACCCTCTGCTGGGCGTCCCGATGTCGCCGGAGATCGAAGAGTGGGAGATCAAGCGCCTGAACCGCCTCGACAGGTCGCGCGCGCGCCCCGCCAACGCCACGGAGATCAAGCGGACGCTGAGCCTCGTGCAGACGCGCGTCGACACCGACCGCAAGGCGCTGGTGAGCAAGGACCTCCGGCTGTGGGCCCCCGGCGAGGCGCCCCTCCGGATCCTGCTGGTGACGACGTGGCGCTCCGGCTCCACCTTCCTGGGCCAGGTGCTGGCTCACCACCCCGCCGTCTTCCAGCACTACGAGCCCCTCAGCCCGCAGGGCATCAAGCAGATCCGGTCGGGGCGCGAGGCCATCCAGGCCCAGCAGTTGCTGCACCGCCTGCTCGACTGCCGCTACGAGGGCATGGCCGACTACCTGAACTACACGCGCGCACACCCCGAGGACATGCTGGGCCACAACAAGATCGTGTGGGACTCCTGCCGCCACGGCCCCAATACCAACGCCTGCTACAACGCCACCTTCCTGACGCAGGCGTGCCAGATGTTCCCCATCCAGCTGGTGAAGACCGTCCGCCTGCGCCTCAACCTCACGCAGCTCTTCCTGAACGACGAGAGGATGAACCTGAAGGTGGTGTTCCTCGTCCGGGACCCTCGAGCGACCATGAGCTCAAGGTACTCCTCGGTGTCCTGGTGCACGGATAAGCCCGACTGCTCCTCGCCCGAGGTCCTGTGCTCAGACTTGGAGGGCGACCTCAAGGTGGCCACGGCGCTGCGCCAGCTGTACCCCGACAGCTTCACGATGCTCAAGTACGAGGACCTGGCGTCGGATCCCCAGGAAGAAATCCACAAGCTGATGGACTTCCTGGGGCTGGAGTTCTCGCCCGAGATCGCCCAGTACGTCAAGGAAACCACGGAGAAGGACGACAACTCCCCCTGGAGCACCAAGCGCAAGTCGTCGGACCGGATCTCCCTGTGGAAGAAGCAGCTCCCCCTGCAGGAGATCCACACCATCCAGAACGCCTGCGAGTCGGTGATCAAGACCCTCGGCTACGAGATGGCCGGGCAGTGACTGGCGCGGGACTCGGACGCGGAGACGCCTGCCAAACATGAAATCTCGAACAGTCACAGGGAATCTCAGGATGGAGAGGGGGCCGCCGGCACCTCGTAAGCACCTCCTGACGAAGCATTGTTCTTCCTGGACAATCTCTGCCACACTCAGGGCACCTTAACCGCTACTTGACTCGTCCGCGCAAGATGAGGCAAGCTGGACGGTTTGCCAAGCGGACTCTCGTGTGTTATACTAAGGGGAAGTGATTTTGTTAAAGTGAATATTTACTTTCTTTTTCTCTCTATACTACAGCCGTGAAAAAATGTCGAAAATGTCAGATTTCCACTTGAAGTGAAACACCTTTTGAGTTTGTGCAAATTCTTATTCAGATCTTGATTGTTATGCAGAACCGGTAGATTAATTGTATACTTTCATTTATTGAGTATGCAAAATGATTCATCAGAGTCATCAGTGATGTTCAAGTTATGTTCAAGAAAATTAAAAGTATATCTACATATATACATACTTTCTTACATACATACTTACATACACACAATAAACCCATACACCGTAAAGGACAAGATACCCACACCCGAATCAGGTTTGTCAAGAGAGCTTTGACAAACAACAAGCAGAGTTTCTGGTCAAAGTCTCCAGCAGAAGGAACTAGTCACAGGTCAACGTCGGTTCACATCGCTAAGATTCCGCAATCATTAATCAAGAACGAGCTTTATCCATCCATTCACGGCATACTGTAGTGCAAATATTACTGTAATGAAGGATAGCTGTTGATCTTTTTTTTTTTTTTTTTTTTTGATCTTCCCTTTTTCATAGATCTTTTATTATCTTTTTTTTTTATCCTCCCTTTTTCAATGGAAAGGAAATTTTTGGTATAACACTTTCGTGATAAGAATGATATCAATGATGTTTTTTTTCAGGATGGCTGAATGTTTATCTCAATTAAGTTTAATCTATAAATGTGATATACTGAAAAAAATAATCAACATGTATAGCTTTTAGATTAGGTATTGTTTAGTGCTAGTATTACGTCTGTCTATTATAACATAAGCGATTCCTTTCTGGTTCAAACTCTTGAGAGAAAATCTTTAGAAAATGGCAAGGAAAAATGTGTACTATTGATTATGCAAACGCGTTATATATATATATTTTGTATTAATTAGTGATATGAAGGTATGGAAGATGCATAAAAAGAGCATGGTTGTGTGAATCATGATGAAAATATGTTTTTTTTTTTTGGACTTTCATGGAGGTTTTCTAAATTCTGTAAAGTTGGCAAAATCATTGAATGTTTACTCTATTTTTTATCAAGCTTCATTTCTGTTATGGTCCTGTTTCTTCATGCGAGTGTCGGGTGTATGTAAATGTTGTAAAGTTAGCGTATAGACTGTTTCAAAGGACTTACTCTTTCCTGTTTGTAATGCTGGAGAACTATTTTTTGTACTTATCAAGTTGATTTTGTTGATAGAAATAAAATTTGTGAAATAGA